AAAAGTTGTTCAACTGGAATTAAATGAAGAAAACAAATATAAAGTCATAAAGAATTCGTTTGCCCCATTAAATCATATAGATGTAAGAGAGGTTGGAACGATGTAACAAACATGCAAACTCATGGATACATGTAAACATTCTGAGGATGGAAGGACATTTTCCTTCTAACACACAGAACTACCATCATTTTGTTAGGGCCCTTCGTTCAAAAAGAAATTTACACTCATCAGTAACATGAGAACAGTCAACCAATCTGATCTAATTAATAATAATAATGGGTGGAGAGCGGCAAATACAGATTAATGTCTTGTGGGATTTGAACCGCGAACCCTGTGATTCACAGTCCAACGACATATCCACTAGACCACGACACCTGTACACCTACACCTGTTCAGATCCCTGATACCTCTACATAATCCTTTTCTTACAATGAAATGTATTTGTCTCCTACTAAATTTATGCAAGAATTCTATGTTTTATTATTTTCGCCCATTGTAACCTGCTATGCATTTCACTTTCCCGTGGTCCTTAAAATATTGTCTATGGACTACACGAGACCTAGGTGTATACATGTATATAACACCTGCCAGCATACATCAGCATTGTAATGTGTTTAACACGTGCAACCTTTCCTATGGTTCGAGTAAGTTATACATCATCCAGTGCGTTAAATACCCATTAAAAGGTCATTGACCGTCAAATCCTATTCTTGTATATATGTGTGTTGTTGTTGTTACATGGTGTCTTAATAATGGTCCCGGGTAAATGTGTGTTGTGCCATGTCAAGAGGGATTCTACCGTCATGCCTCCTAGTTAATCTAGGAAAACTACAATTGATCGTCCTGAATATGATTTTCACTAAACATGCCAAGTACATGTTTGTACATTCTGTAACGTTTTTAACCAAGGGAGGCTTCATGTGCCCCGATAATAAATAAAACATTTGGGAGGGGGATGAAATTCGAGTTTCTCTCAATGTTTGTTGTATGTGCATTTATCTACATAAGATGCAACTCTATCATATACTCCCCTCTGTATATCTACATAAGATATGAATCGATCATAGACACCCTTAGGTGAATCTACATAAGATGTGAATCTATCATAGACACCATAAGGTATATCTACATAAGATGTGAATCTACCATAGACACCCTAAGGTATATCTACATAAGATGTGAATCTGTCATAGACACCCTAAGGTATATCTACATAAGATGTGAATCTATCATAGTCACCCTTAGGTATATCTACATAAGATGTGAATCTATCATAGACACCCTAGGTATATCTACATAAGATGTGAATCTATCATAGACACCCTTAGGTATATCTACATAAGATGTGAATCTATTATAGACACCCTATGGTATATCTACATAAGATATGAATCTATCATAGACACCATAAGGTATATCTACATAAGATGTGAATCTATCATAAACACCATAAGATATATCTACATAAGATGTGAATCTATCACAGACACCCTAAGGTATATCTACATAAGATGTGAATCTATCATAAACACCCCTACATGTAGGTATGTCTACATAAGATATGAACCTATTTTAGACAGCCTTATGTATATCTTCATTAAGTGTGCATCTACCATAGCTAACCATGTGTATGACCACATAAGATATGATTTTATCAGTGCTATCATGATGTATGCCTTCATAAGTTATGAATCTATTAGATAACAATAGGTATTTCTATCATTTTGGCATTACGCCTTACTATTTTCTCGTTGATAAAACCTCCGCGTTGGTCTCTGTATTAGGAATTTCACGGGCAGAGGTTTTACAGATATTATCGATTGAAGCAAGTTGGTAACAAGAATCTGAAGGTTTTACACTGTAAGATTGATTTTAGTTCTTGATGTGTAGCCTTATCCATAACGTGCCATATATAAGGACAGCTGCAAGAAAGCTGATATTGAAACCTTCGGGGATTTTTCGTTATTATGATGTGTGCAGAGTAATGTATTCCGCAAAATTGACCATCATATCAAAAAGTCCATTCTAACAACGTTTGTTATAAAGTATTAAATGGTCTGTCATCAATTCGTCAGTCAAATCGATTTTGGAGCCTTTGGGTTCGGTGGAATTGGACACTGGCCATTTCTTTATGGCAAACGTTTCAATCAAAATAACAAGACAGGTTAGATGGAGTGTTAACCTGCAGCTGCGGCCCATACCTACGACAAATCAATTATATCCGGTTAATATTTAAGTGGAATTAATCTCTCCTTAACGATTAATCCAAAATCTGATACGATAAGTAAATATACTGTATACAGCTATTGAGCACGAAATGTGTGGTAACAGCTTAAGTTGAACGAGAGTGGTGAAGGAATGATTAGTCAAGTATAAGACATTAGCCTATATCTTTAACGCTTTACATTTGCGGTGTCATGGTAGAGTGGTTCAATTACCTGACTCTCAATCATAGGGGTGAGGGTTCAAATCTCTGTGCAGCACAAAAAATCTGTTGGCAAGACGTTAATCTATTTCCCCACTTTCCACCGAGGTGTAAATGGTTTACCTGGCAATTGCTGGGGCTGTAATAATTGCAGGGCCCTGAGAAAGAATTATTGCTGAGGATTCTCTTGTTTAACAAAATTAACATTATCATTTTTATCAATACATTTTACAGTCTTCTTATAGGCGACATGCTGTCAATTATATTAAGTCGTATTAAGTCTGGAGTAGATAAACTACTCATCAGACTAATAGAAACATCGGTATATCTAAAGTCTACTTTCACCAGACTCAATTTGTTCAGAGTTGAATAAATTCAATTTGAAGGACTTTTGAAACATTCAACCGAAGGCAATCGCAATAGCTATGTCCATCACCCTTTGATACGAGCAAACATTACAATGATTGAACCCGATCATGATTTCTATGGGAGATATAAAAGGGTATAGAAATAGCCCCCTATGTTGATCTAAGCTAATTTACAATCGTATTTGTAGTACAATACAGTCTAACTGGGAGCAGAAAACGAGCTGCACCTCGAAACAGGCTATGTACTATACTCGTCTTTAAAGCTCATCTTGAGCTCTGGTATGGGTATCGTACATGTATGTCGAAAGAACTTTTCATTCTGGATTGTTTATCCTCTGCAGTAGATTGATTGTTTGAACCAGTAGAATAAAAACAACCACACAAAAACTTGCTGGAAATCATCTTTAAATAAAAACCACAATTCTCTGAGTGGCGCCTTAGTAGCAATGGGAGACGTAGTACCTATTTTTTCTTTTAGTAAAGCAAGGCATCTTACCAACCATATTGGCATGGCATTATTTTTTCAATTTTGCTGTTGCAAATGACACAACGTTCCCCAACGTTTACACTTTCCAATCAACCTACTATGAGGGCACATTCTGCGTCATTGTTTTCAACCTGACATTTCATTTCATGTTAAAAGGGACATTTTATCGAAAGTTAAAATTCGCCAATTCACATTCACTAAGAGACATGAAAGTAGAGCATTTAAGCGCCCCACTGTTATCGATATATTAGCGCCGCAGCTGGGTAATGTTTGCACGGCAAACATTATTACTCTTGTCAACTTTCCATCAAGACGCCCATCAATTTTTTGTTCATGGTTCCGACGTGAATAAGTAAAGATCATATGCATAATTCTTTTAAAATGGCACGTTCCTATCATGTTTGCACCTGCACATAATGCTAGTCACCTGCGACGTATTACTTGTTTTATTCAAATATTTTGTTCGGTAATGTATGTACACAAACAGACGGCGTGGAGAGCTAAAACGGTTTTACCATGGCGTTTATATCAACGATGATTTTATATCTTAGATCAACAGCCATCGTGGGTTTTTTTTTAATTCCATGGTGATATTTTCGACATTCATTCGACTTCATGTTTACAGATATAATTTTCATAATTTCAAAATGTATTCCTAAATAGATTTGTAATGTTTTGTTGGAACCATAAATAAATTGAATTGAAAATTGAATTGAACATATCCACCGTAATAATAGCAATACCTTTATTTAGCATTTCCTCGCGTTACTCGAGCTGAGAACCTTAACAAATACATTAACTTTCCCTTGGATGAAATCCTTAATGTTTCGATGCAATTAATTTGGACTCTCACTGGGGATTACTGCTTTCCATTAATTCGAGAGCCACATACACTATTTTTGATGAGTTTGGATAGTAATATGAAACTCACCACCTTACGGAAACCAGGCAGAATGAGTATGACCTAATTATTCAGAGATTGTGGACTAAAAGGCAAATATGCCTGCGGGTCAAAGGATTTTCCACTAAAGACGTAGATTAGATTTCTATCACCAAAACGGTTGGCATCTATCCAAACGATCGAAAAGGGTTTTAAATATAGATCGTCTCTAGTTTTTTAATGGTTGCAAATGCGATAGCGTGGAAATTATATATTGCGGTTCTATATAAAGCGATTATGAATTCATTATCACTGTAATTGAAGCAAGACTTTTATCTGCCCTTAAGCGGGGAACGGGAGGGGACAATTAAATAGCGGCTCAACCCTATCACAGGTGGTTGTACAACATTTGCAACTGCGACAATTATTCCGCGTCATTTATTTCCGACATTAACCGAGTTCTTAATTTCAACCCTGCATGGACCCTACATTATGAATACTCATATTCTTAACTGTAAACCTAACCTAAAACCCAATCGCAACCCTAACCCTAACCCTTCATCTTTGCAGAAATAACGTCCGCAGCAGTTGGCGCTCTAGCAAATACGGGATCACCTACATGGCTATCTATACGTCTATGATAATTATAGTTAAGCGCGCTGTGTGTATTTTGCTCTATATACCGATAACTGAAAGTCCTTCTATTAGTTTTTAAATAGCTAACGCAGTATTATTTGTTAATATAAATTTGGTTGCAAAAGTATATTTTTTAAAGGCTGACATCTGAAACTTATTCATGTATATTTTCCCTTTATGGTTATTTCCTTAGATACTGATATCTTCGAACATGACAAAGATACATCTTCTGGTAAACACATCGCTTTGATATTCACTTAACAGACTCTATAACCCAATCATCTGCAGGTAATATATTCATTTATTTATTAGTTCTTTTTTAAATTGGATAGCTCATTTTCATTTGATGTCAACCGGGAGTTATATTTCTCGTTGTGGACGTTGTTCTTGAATAAGGGGTAAAAATCATTTTGGAAGAAGGAACTTGACCTGGGACTGAGATTGCGTGATCGGATCTTATCAACTTAAGCACTAGAAGATAAGATCACAAGGGAATTCTAAAATGAGGGCGAATAATGTTTGTTTCCAAGTCTCGCTCCCTTTCTCCACCCTCTAACCGTCTTATTATAGATCAATGTGTATAACCAGGATACCTATTCAAATCCAAGTGCCTCCCTGCAGGATACACTTTGGCTAAGACGAGGCAGCGAAAGTGTTTTGAAAAGTCCACCCCTTGTTTAAACTAACCGAACCATATTGAGGAAATTCACTTGATAGCCTGTTGCCCTAATTCCATATTGCGTTTCTAATTTCGTCACCTGTTCCATTCCCAGTTCCTCCCTTGAACATCTTGTTGTCATACACTTCAAACTACGTTTTCAACAAAAATAACGTCATTATCTCAAAGAGATTGTTTTACATAGAAACATGCTGGACTAGCTTCCCTTGGACGATATTTCTATTGACTTAACCTGATTAAGCTCTCGGCTTAAAAAAGTGTTTACTCTCCACATTTTCGATGGTGAAAGTTATTACGTTTATATAAAGCAAAATAGCTCGGGGCATTTTAGCTGATGACATTGAATTCCGCTGAAAAATATAGACACTTCCTGAATGTGATGGTATCTATCTGGGTTTGTCGTTTAATCAAGAATTGCTTTCGTCGCCTTGGACTGCAATTATAATCACAAGTAGGAGTTTAGAATAATGGTCGCCAGCTTGTGCTTTTCGTTTGCACGTTTGGAAGTCAAAGAGGCGGGCGAACTATAGGCCTATGCAAAACTGCGTCGAATGCTTGCAACAATACTTACCAAAGAAAGAACATAAATAACCCACTACGCAATATCTTCCCTCGTAGTTTAATGCTTCTTTTACAGAGCAAACGTTGAAAGACGTTGTCTGATGTTGACATATTTTTGTAATCTCTACACTGATCCACGGTCAAAAGACTGCCCCTAAAATCTGTTCTTATATTAAAGATTAAAGTTAAAGCTTTTGGCGTTATGTAGCATTGCTCCTACTAAAATATTTGTTTAGGTTAATTTGTATGAAGCTACTCAATAAACCACATACAATCTAAAATTTGGGTTATCAGGCAACCTGTGGATTTGAGGCAGAAAAACACAAACTGTTACTTATACATTTACGTTGTATCGTTCATTGGAATGGTCTCAAACTTTTCCAACACTTTTTAAAAAGTATAAGATTAGGTTCGAAATGTTTTAATGAACATTAATGCAAATTTTAAAAGTATTTCTAATCATATTTGGCTTCAATATAAGAGTATTCAAAGAGCAATGCTTTTCATATGACGTTGCTATGATATTTACGACAACGAGGATAAAAACGAATAATACAAATAACGAGAAGAAGTATAGGTCTTTCTCGTTCTTTATGTTATCTCTACATGTGGAAGATTATCACAGAAGCAATATAGTGCAAATGCGTTTTTTTATGATGACGTCTAATACGCTTCACATTTCTGAATCTTACAACACAGTGCTTAGTGAATAGGCGCAAGTCCTTGCCATTCATTTTACACGTAAACAAAGAAATGAAAACAATGATCGCACCGTATCTGAACAAGCATAAAAACAACGATGCTGCACGTTTCTTGCTTTGATTTCCTTTCAGTTCATTTTGAACAAGGTAGCTCCACCGTAATTAATTTGAATATCGTTCTTTCGAGATGTCGAGAGGCTCCAATTGCAAGCTGCACTTAAAAATCCATCCAGAAAACCAATCCAAATATATTCGGGCTGATTGGCGACTGTTTTTCTTTAATGTACCTCCTCTATCTCACATTTAGATCTTCTAGAAATTGGCAATTTTTCCCCAAGCAAACAAAATTCTTATAAAGCGGCGGATATTTGTATAAAAACGACAGATTGATTCATTTGCCGGTGGTGCTGTCGATCGAGACATTGTCGATAAGTTCTCGTATCGCATTTGATTTTTATATCCCTCATGTTTAGCGGCGTGCCCCAAAATTGATAAACAGGTGTGTGTGTGGGGGGGGGGGGGGGTACAAAGGCAAGTCCCTCGAGCTGTAGACCAGCCGAATTAAGTGAGCGTAGATGATTGACCGCGTAGCGATTGTTATCGGATCAAGAGTCTTACAAACACTGCACATTGTGACTATTTTATTTGGGGGTAATCAAACGAGTAGGAGGAGGGCGTGTGTCGTCTCCAGAGTATGCTGGCTACGCCACTGCCTTTCAATCAATCATTCTAAATTCACGGCGCAACAATATATCCCCCGGGTACACAAGATATTTTCAGATACGTCGAAATCAAATATTATGGTGACTCTGGATGACGGCAAAGAAAGGGTGTCCATCAGATTTCATTCATTAAGTTTAGAAATAAATTTAAGCTTAGCACGTACCATCGATTGATTGTCAATACACAATTTATTCAAGGGAAATCTCTGTCTCTCTCTCTCTCTCTATCTCTCTCCCTCTCTCTCTCTCTCTCTCTCTCTCTCTGTCCTGTCTCTTTCTCTGCCTTTCTATCTCATCACATCTCTGTGTCAGTATCATGTTTCGATGTGGGCGATTTCTTCTTTGTTAAGTTTGCAGAAACTCAACTTAATCAATCATGATAATATTTTTCTCATATATCTAGATGCATGTCAAACGTTTTTCTTTAGGGGACGGAAAAGGTGTGATGACACATGCAAAAAGAAATATGAAGCCAATTGGATTTGAAGATATCACAGGTTACCGTTTGGAAGTCCTTATTTTCTATTACTTAGACATAATTAGGCTTCCTTTAAACTGAGGTGCAATTGCACTCCTAATATTCGTTATTATTCATCTCGAATATTTTAGAAATCTATTTTATAACTAACTGCTATCATGGCTACAAAGACTAGTACTTTGTGTCTATGGATTGAAATAAACCTTATACGAAGTGAGAAATGAATTCATAAAAGCTCCCGGCGACACACAAACAAACCTGTTTATGTAATATTTTCTGTAACTCATGCTATTCTTAACACAATATAGTCTGATAAAAGCCTTTCTTAGAATTCTCAATATTCAAAAGGGAGATATATTAACGCTCTACAATTCATCATTACTTTCATGTTTTGCTTTATTTTACTTAACAGTTTTTACAGTGTTCCCTGACACTTCTTTTTATGCTATAAAATTGTAAATAGGTTAAGGACCCTCTAACTCATGTCATGAAGAAAACAGCGGCAAGCGTTTTCCAAGAGTTGTCATTCGATTAAACGAAAATAGTATCTTCGGATACCCTTGTGACGGTACGCTTGGGAGAAAAGGAGGTTACAGAAAACCCACTTATGACAGAAATAAACCTCAACAAGAGAAGATGGCGTGAAGAGGTTAAGAAGAGTGAAAATGCTATGTGATAATTCTGACACATGCTCACTCTATTAAGATCCCATGAATAATCAGAGATTTACAAATCGAAAACTCATTTTGATAAGCCTCCGGGACGTTTGATATTTGGCAAGATCCATCAATCGGTTTCTCTAAGCCTATTTCCAAATACACTTCGAGGAGATTGTATTTATAATTTTTATTTGATAACCTTATTTGCAGAGAGAAAAAAACAAAAAGTGAACAGGTCTTATTGCTCGCTTTGAGCCACTATAATTATTTTGTATATCGACATTTTAGATATTTCAATCCATACCGAATATTTTGATCATCACATAAGTTTCCAAGCGAAAATAACAAGAAATAAAGATTACGTTTATGAGAGGCAGGTTAATAGGTAGATAGATAGATATATAGATACAGAGAGAAAGAGAGTGTGTGTGTGGGTGTGTGGGTGTAGACATGTAACAAAATATAATACAGTAAAGAATATCCAGAAAACATACTTCGTTATGGCATAGTTTTGAATTTTAACTAATTTATGTGGCACAAAATTTATGTTATATAAATTGCTGCAAGATGAAATTACAGGTTACTGATTTGTGGCCAAATTTAAATGTAGAGTACTGTACCCAATATAAGTGCGTGCGCTGCTTTTAATATTTGTGTAAATTACAGCAAAACTGTATCAAACTCCATAACATTGCACACATTATTTGAGTTTCACCATTCCCAGAAATTCTGGATTTGTTTTCTTTCACAAAACGATCAAATGTCCATTACATAGCCTTCTCTGTAAGATTTTTTTTATTTCATTTATGACTGTCCAATCAATAGTGAACCTTGTACAGGCATATACTAATACCATTTCCGTTACCCGTCTTTCATCCCGTATCACTTGCGATGATATTTGAAACAATATCTCATACGCGCAAACCAATCAATCGATAATCGTATAGAATGTGCTGTATGGCGTCACAATTATGGGTAATAATTTGGTAACAAAAGCCTTGAGTAAGAATTCAATTCCTGTTTCTGTTAGGTCTTTGAGAAAGAAATTATAACTTGAAAATGTGAAAGGATATTATGTGTCTCAGTAACATGTGAAATGTATTTAGTCAGACCCTTAAAACATTGGAATGAAATACACCGTGCGTTACTTATAGTTGTACTTTAATCCTTTCACAACAACCTCTCTACATTTTGTGGCTCGGCTCAATGAATTTTTATTCGGAGCCTTAAACAAATCCAGATGGATGAGTAGAAGGGGCTAACATTTCTACCCACATTGCGTCCATTTTTCCATGTCTATATATTCCCTTTAATACCAAAAGAATTCAAAGGAAAATAAGATCTAAAACCATTAAATTGGCAATACGTTGAGAGATTAAAAATCATAGTTTTTTTTTTAACGCCAACATTCTAACCTATGTAGGCCTATATTGTTTCAGAGACATTACATTTTATTCAAACAATAAATCAATACAAGAACATGGAGAA